TACATTAAAGTTGCCTTCCAAAATCTCTCTGGTGCGCAGTGTTTTCCTTTTGGGCCTGAATTTTTCCTGCAATAGGATGTGCCTTAGTTTTTTGGGGCCAGGGGTGAAATGTATGGCTTGTGTCTAGGTGTCCCCCTAAAGCACTCATAGGTAGGGAGTTTCAAAGGTGGTTGGGTTAGGTTGTGTGAATTTGGATTAAGTGATACTGGGATTAAGGGTGGTACTAAAGTGGTACTAAGTTAGTCCACTTATTGGAATTAGCATAGTTCTAAGTGATAACACCAGAAAGGCTGATAGCCTACATGGGAAAAAGAGGAAAGGCAGGCTGGCTGCTTGCGCTACTGCTTGCTGCTTGTTGCCTTCTGCCTTCCCTGCCGCACCACAAGCTGTTTCTCCACTCTGATGCCCCTCGACCATAAACTCCTGCACGGGAGCCAGCTGATTATGAAATGGAGCTTCTACAAACTGAGCTGAAATCATTCTTTCCACCTTTCACTTTGAGCATCAGGTATTTTGTCTCAGCAATGAGAAAGGTACCCATGATAATCCCTATAACTTTCATTTCTTTAAACTACTAAAATACAGTATTTTTAAAAACTTTATAGTACTAGATATCTAATCTCAAGGAGAAAATATTCAAATTTTATCTAACCACTCATTGAGAACAACCCTCTTCTTGAAGTATATGCAGAGAAATTAAAGTGAATCTGTCCTTGAGGTAGTTTGTGTTTTAGTAGACATTGTCAATAATAATTAGAATATAAATTATAAAGTGAGAAATGTCGAGCTTCCTGCCTGCTGGCTCCCGGAGGGTGGGCCCCCAGCGCACGGGGAGCCTCGGGCGGGGAGCGCCAGTTTTTTGCGGCTTTGGACCAGCGACTTACTCCCGGCCTTGTGGTTTCCCGGAAGGAGGGCTTCCGGCACACAGGGAGCTGCGGGTGGGGAGCACCAGCCTTCTGGCTGGCTAGCTTCCTGCCTGCTGGCTCCTGGAGGGTGGGCCCCCAGGGCATGGGGAGCCATGCGGCGGCGAGCGCTAGTGTGCGCCGGCCCTTAGGCCGGTCGCCGCTGCTCAATTGGGATCTATATGACACAGAGAAACAGTGACACAATTGGCCCACCAGGTACCGACTGCAGTTGCCCACCCACGGATGTGTGTGAATCATTGAAACTTTGAACAACCCCTGGGAATATATGCCATACAACGGGTCACTCTTTCTCCTGCCATTGGGTACCAGAAAGGTCCAGAGCCAGCGGAGGAGCAGCTGCTGAACAAGGACTCAGAGAACATGAGAATGCAGACTAAGCCCATGGAGTCAGAGGTCCTGTGGACTGGGGTCACGAGAGCCGCTAGGAAGCTGTAAACCAGGAGGACCTTGCACAATACCTGCAGAGACTCATTGGAAGCCATTCTTCCCCTGACAGTACAGGATGTGGTGGAGCTCCGGAGAAGTCTGCAGCAGGATTCCTGCTGCCTGTGCTGACAGTTTGGGAGAGGACACTAACTGGTTGTGGGGTCCCAAAGCAATGGGAAGCTGGAGAGAAATAGCTACAAAGACTGGCTTTCACCTCAGATAGCTCACTTGAGATGTTAGTAAGAATTGCCTCCTCAGTATTCTATAGCCATGATGAGGAGGAGGCCAAGGAGAGAAAACAAAGAGACTGAGAAAAAGCAGCTGCTTTTGCTGCACCACTAAGAGAAACAGATCCCAGGTCTGATTCCCGGGGCTCCAAGAAGAACTCGACAACTGCATTCATCTGCTACCACTGTTAAAAGCCAGGGCACCTCAAGAGGAACTGCCCTAAGAGGCCCCATGGGCCATGCCCTGGATGTAAAGGAGACCACTGGAGATCGGTCTGCCCTCTGAGGTGGAGGCCCCAGAGCTCAGACCCATGCTACCAGTTAGTCCAACAGGAATGAGAGGGCTTGGGGCATGGTCTGCCTTCTCCCTCTGGCCAGACCATCATCTCCATCGAGGAGTCCTGGGTAATCATAACTATGGAGGAACAAGAAAACAGCCTGCTGCTAGTCACAGGTGCAAGTCTCTCGGTTCTTCTTTTCAATCCTGGCCTTCCTTCCAGCCATCATACCGCAGTAAAAGGAGTCACTGGGGAGGAGGTAATATGCTATTTTTGACAACCCTTAGACTGTAACTACTTATTAGATCCTTCTTGCATATCTCTGTCTTCCTGAGAAACCACTTTGAAGATACCACCACATATTACAGCAGCCATTGATATTTTCCTACTAATCTATCCATAACTGTGTTAAGTTTGTAATGTTCCTATCCTATTTCATAATGTATGTTTATTATTATGTGTTTCCTACAACAACCATTGAGAATAGTTAATGATTTTTCAATAGGTCACTCATGTATAGCTCTATTTATTTTCTTTAGAAGCCACTTTGAAGATACCAAAGTATAGCACAACAACTCTTAATAATCTCCTACCTCTTTTGTCTGTAACTCACTATTATTTGTCTATTTGTTTTCCTGAGAAACTATTTTGTAGATAATAATATGTAAAACGATAACCATTGATAATTTCCTACCATTTTGTCTGTAATTTGCTAAGTCCCCCCTATTATTATGTTATCCTTCTTTTATTCTTTAAAATAAAAAAAAAGTGAGAAATGTCATGAAATATGTGTAGCTCAAGGACACTGATATTTGGAGAAAAATTTTAGCAACAGATTTCACTATGATTTTTATATAAAGTACCATAAAGGTTTGGCGTGATCTTTTAGACATTTTAAACAAAACTCATGTAATACTTCCAGTGATGACAGAGAAAAAGCAGATATAAGCAAATACACACCCGCATGGCTCAAATATTGATGCATCTGTTCCAAAGCACTAACACTAATGAGAAATTTTGTTTCATGCCTGCAATTAACCTTCAAAAAGATGGCCATCCATTAACACAGCTTGCTAGTATAATGACAAGCAATTAGTTATAACTGTTCTATTCTGGAAAGAAATAATTGAATGTAGATGACTTCTCAAAAATTGAAAAATAAGTTTGCTAGCTCAGTTTTTAAAATTTGGTGTAGCAGATTCATGTTAGGCATCTTCTACTTTGGTTGAATAAAGGATATGGAAAAAATAAAGTTTTTTTTTTGCTTTGGTTTTATTTTAGTTAGCTTTCCCTACCCTCTGGCCATCCCCCTCCCTTCACAGAATCATAGCTTAACTGTTTATATTTCCTAAGTAACAACACATAAAATATCAGGGTACTTTCAAGAACCTTGAAGCTGAGGAAAATTCCTTACAGGATGGAATTAATTATAATAATTTGATAAAGTTGAAAAATTACAAGGAAGTTGCAGAAGGCAGATTATCAATTCAGTGTAAAGGAGAACTTCCTAAAGATTAGGATTGCTGAGTATTACTCACAGTTCAGTATATTCAAATGTGAACTGGAAAATCCTTTAATGAATATTGTAAAGTTGATACAAGCATTCATTAGGGTCAGTGAGGAGCTAGACTACAAGAGTAAACTATGTAAGTTTTCTTTTCTAAGAAGAAGTGTAAGCTTTAGTCACTGGAATTACCTTACAGTAGTGGGGTTATTTGCATTATGCCTCTCTATTTTCCTTACCACCCTTAATATTCTGTAAACCAACTGTTGTGAGAAGGAATATGCCTAGAGATTGGAGTCACTCTTTATTGTGGCCTAGTGATACTGTGTTGAGAAACATGGGTGACTTTTTGCCAGCAGTGAAGCTAATTTATGGAAATTTTAAGTATAAGTGACAAAGATGGCAAAGATCAAGTGAACAGATATGTTTTGAAATGAGGCAATGCCGTCACGTGACATGTCACCACTGGTGACTGCTGAAGCTCCTTCCCACCACTCCAAAGAGTGGACAAGACTAAATTTCAGGTCTTATGATATTCAGTTCCTCCTGAATACACCTTCCTCTATTCGTTGCCCTTGTGAGAGAGAGGCATCAGCAACTTAAGCAAACCCCTTCTGCCTACACTGTCCGAGAACATGCACCTGTTCAGAACAGAATATGAGATTGCAAGCTCGGCATAGTCTGTCTCCTAGGAATACGTATGTACACCCTGAGACCTTTATTAGGGAGCATAGCCATTCTTTCTCAGAGTTAAGTGCAACAACCCAGCACCTCTGATTCTCCATTATGAAACCCATGATTTTTCTTGTCAAAATGTTTTTGCCTGCAAGTAAAAGAAAGCCCAATTTAAACTAGCTTAAACAATAACACACTTACAGGCTGTCATATCTCCCTGATTTTTTTTTCATGCCCTCATTACTTCTATTTCCAATACTGTTACTCTAATTAGAATTTTTAAAAAAATTGACATAAACCCTAGTAGTTGTTTTCTGCCTGATAATTCCCCTAACTATGAACGATTTCCTGCAATAGCCATTTATCCACCACTCACTGTTTTGAGGTTTTACTGCGCTATTTCTGGGAGAGGGACACCACATTACACAAGCTTTGCTGCAGTCTCTAAATTTACAGTGCCAGTGGGGAGAGGTGAGCCTAGGGTGTGACAACAGGAAACCCCCAAACTGAAAGCACAGATGCCCTCTCTCTTGCTGTACATCCTCTGTAGGATAACTGCTGTCCTCACCACAGGCACTGCAGATCCTATATAGGCTCAGTGAGGAGCCACACTACAAGATACGTAAGTTTTCTTTCTGAAGAAGACGTGTAAGCTTTTGTCACTGGAATTATTTTCCAGTGGAGCACCTTTATTCTAGAAGCTTTCCCACTGCTGTGACACAAGGAAAGAAAATGTGACAAAATACAAATAGTTTCTTTGAATGTCTGACTACTAGGGACCTAAATCAAATTCACCTATTTCACTGGTCAAAGCAAGCTGCTTAACATGTCCAGCTTAAGGAGTAGGGGATACTGCACATACAGCTCTTCCAGACAAGGCATGTGGATACTGCTAAGGAGCAATGCAATCCACCACAAGACCTTAAAATTCAAAGCAGATATTAGCAAACTGCACTGTGCCATATTTTTTACAAATAAACTTTTATTGGGACATAGCCACATCTATACATTTACGTATCTTCTATGACTGTTTTTGTGCTACAATGGCGGAGGCTAGTGTCTATGACAGAGACCATAAGACCAGCAAAACCTACAGTGTTTACTTACTGTCTGATCCTTTACCGAAAGTGTCTTCCTATCTTGATTAAAACTACAGTATTTAATCATGCAGTTCCTGCAGCTATTATCTCTTAGCAGTAGTGGTGATTGCTTCCTTTCTATACATATTACATTAGGATATAACACATATTTGTGAAAAAATATTGGGTTTTGGTGACGAACAGTCTTCTGGTAGCTTCAAGATCCCATCCAGCATCTTTAAATTTGGCAAGCAGGAGAACACTCTAAAGCAAAAATATAAAAAATAAAGTAACTACGTAGAAAAAAAGCATTTTCACTTATTCTTTATAAATGACTGGCCTTGCTTATTATTACAGGAAAGATGACTGGCTGTCACTTTATTCTTTGCAGTGGTGTTAAAATAAACAGTATTATGTGTGTTCATTGAGCTGATGAACGTGCCACGTTGGCCCTCTCAGGCATCTAACAGGTCTTTCGGCAGATGATACATATTGGTCAGAGAGGCTGCACACAATCTGCCTTTATGAGAGAACTTCATTCAGTTTTTACAAGTGCTACAAGGAAAGAATCAATGCCTGGATATAGTCAACTTACCCTAGAAGAAGGATCGTGACAAATGTACCCATTATAAAGTTAAAAGTTTTAAAAGAGAAAGGGAGAAAGCAAAGAAAAAGCCCCTGTTGTTTAATGATAGCAGGGAGGTATAAAGGGAGGTTAGGAAATAATATTGTTCTGAGTTATTTTCTCTTGACAGAGAGCACTTTTGCAGCTCATATTTCAAGTTTAGCTATTTCCAGATTCAAGAAGAGATCTGTCGGGGGCTCCATTTAAACAGTGCTTAATGCACAGCAGTGTTATGAAGCAGCACTGACTTCCAAGAGGACAGTTTCCCTAGATCTGGGAATTCTACTGGCTCAGGTCAGAGGAATCTAGATTTCAAGTTTTCCGGATGGAAAAGACTTCAGCAGATGTGTTGAGTCAGCTAATGCTGGTCGGTCCTGCAGTCTTAAAATTTGCTATTGTCTCGCTGATTTTAAAAAAGCTAAATGCTTGCTCACATTATCTTAATCCTCATAACAAGCCTATGAGGTTGACTTTTATTCCTCGTTTTAAGTAACTTCTCCAAAATCATAAAGCCTGGAGATGAAAGCAAAGATTGAAATCTAAATTCTCCTTCTGAGTCCAAACTTATGCATAGGTGGCAGGAACTCCTAATTACTTGTATTTTTATTTTTAAAACATCTAACTATGGTGATATAATACCATACCGATTTCTAGAAAATGGCCAGAGAATTTTGCCTGTGGGTGTCCCATGAAATGTGGCTACCCTTTTCACCCACTGGGACTTACACTGTAAATTCTATCATTAAGTCCTTTCCCTTTTAAATTGTGCTATTTTCTTATTAGAGCAGCTGAAACAAAGGAGGAAGAGAAAAACAGTCTCAATTCTAGATGACAGTAATCAAAAAAATCTATACTTCACATGATTCTGAGAACGGCATAAAGGATCTTTGCAGGTCTGGTCCGAACGCTCAGTACTGATACCCAGTCACAGAATGAATAATGCCACAGTCTTCAACATGTGGACTATTCTCTTGGTAACTGAACCCAAAGTTAGATGTACCTTGAACTTCAGCCTAGGGTCTCAGTACGAGTGAGCGCTTGAACCCTTTCCTCATTCTTTAAAATGAGCACACTTCTCTGTTAAAGCATTCTACACCACCTAAGTCAACATAACCTGCCTCTCTAGTTTTAAGAAGTCAATATACATCCATCTGGGACACGATAGAGTGGAGCTAGAACTGGGAAAAGAGGAGAAGCTTGTTGTATTCATTTTCACATAACTTTATACCACATCGTGAATTCTGAGGACAGAATTATTGCGAGCCCACGGGCATGCCAGCTGTCAGACGGTCTTCACACTGTTGTGGCAAGTCACTTCAACGGAAGCGACTGAGCTGGAACCAAAATCATTCATAAAGTCTCACATACAAATGAATAAAATTGAAACATAATACTTTGAAGTGTTCCTTCTGACTGACAATGTCCTCCTTTATGAATGATGCTGAAATGTCCAGCTAAGGCTCCTGTGACTGCAGGAAATATACTTCTAAACTTCAAAATATTATTTTGCCTAAATCTTAGTCCAATATTAAAGCAACTGTGCCACCAGTTTTTACTATTATATAAAAATAATTTGAGAATTTACGATCACAGACAGAAAATGCAGCTTTCAAACTACACTCATATGGGAGACAACAGCAGTAATGAGATTTAGACAGTAACAAGAGAGTAGATTTTTATTTCAGCAATTTTTCCTTGTGCATCAAGAATTGAAAATGGTGCTATTATATAAGTCTCTTGAATATACTTGTTATCATGGGAAAATGCCGACGTGAGAAAGGAAGATGCTAAAAACGACATCTTTTTATTGAAGTTGAATGTAGATAAAGGACTATAATCAAAGAGTGGAATATGCTGCCCTAGAAGTAATCTAACTTCTGTAAAACATAGTCATCTGAGAGGAGATGACCTGAAGTCCTCTGGGAGGAAACAGAAGTTTAGAATTTAGTTGCTTGTTTTGGTCTTTTTAATTACTTTAAGTACATGAATGATGGTGCTAATAATTAGCTGGAGGTAAATAGGTATATGCTGCTATTAATCCTGATGTCAATTGGACTGAATTAAAATGCCTAGAGGATCTTTGTATCTGCAAAATCACACTACAAAGGGAGCCTAAAATCTTTACAGCAATCTGGAAGCAGCCAAGGTAGAAAACTGTATTAAAGATGAAGAAAGATTACTTCAGAGTTCTTTAGGTGGCCTTAGAAGCACGAAGCTTTGAACGTATGACAAACACTAAGTGAAAATAAACAAGAAGGGAGCAAAGTAAAAATGGTTAAAAGTGTAGCTTCAGCGAAGTCCTGCAGTGTGTCAGTGTGAGAAGTTTAACTGAGGAGTCAGCAGGGGGCCAGGGTCCTCACTCTGTAAGCATCCTGAGCCTGCGAAGAGGAGGGCACGGAGATGGTGTGAGTGCTACACCTGCGCTGGGTGCGGGCTGGCATGGGTAGCCCGCTTACAATATAAGGGAGGAAAAAAGCCCTGCCCTGCACCCCCTTTGCTGTCCTCTGCCGCCTTGAACTGCTGCCCTCCGCCATGTGCCACCCTGCCTTGGAGCCAGCAGATCATGGACGGAAACCTCCACAGACTGTGAGCTAAATAAACCTTTCCTCCTTAATTTCAGGGGTTGAGTATTTGTCTCAGCAAGGAGAGAAAAGTCACCAGACAAGTAGAAACAAGTCCTTAGGCATTTGGGGCCTCACCTTTTTCTGTAATTTTGGTGAAATTCACAAGGGTTCCTGGTGAGCACGAGGGATTGCAAAGGCGTGCACTGCAAACTGGAGAGTGCATCCAGGGTCTCAATGTGGTTTTCAGCCAGGGATAAATGCTGTATCTGAGGTATCTTTGGCAATTTTTTAAAAGATGTGAGACAATTTTTGTTCATATTTAAAATTCTGCAGCTGAATACAAAACACAAAGCGCTTGTTACATTTTTGTATTTAAAATGTTGAAGGGGTTGCCATCACACCTTACCCAGGACTGGCATGCATCACCTAGAGCAGGGGCTCTCAATACCGGGACACTGATATTTCCTACAAATGCACTATGGTATCAGACGTTAAGAGAAAATTACCAAGATACATGAGCCAGGACTACACAGCAATCAGTTTTCTTTTCCAGTGTGCGTACTGAGTATCGAGCACAGTACTGGGCCCGTTTGGATTCCTGATACATCCTGAATGAAAGCATGCACAGTTGCATATACTCAGTGTAATACAAAAGTGTACACAGAAATAGAGTAACTTGGGAGGAATATCATCCTACGTAATAAAGCTATTGTCATTTTTCTACTTTTCTGTATTTGAAATGTTCTATATTGAGCTCTATATATCTAATTTAAAATACAGTCTTTTAAATCAGAAAAGGGGCTTTTTTATATAAAGGAAAACTAAAAGTACCCTTAGGGGAAGAAATTTGTATTAGGCATTTTAAATTCAATATACTTTTCTGATAATATTTTTGCTGTAAAACCATAATTGTACAAGACTGTATATGTGGAGAAAATAATTCAAAGCCTATCAATGACACCATGCAATGACAAAATATTTCTTTACCTATAACTTGGAATTTAATATCATGAGGGAAACATAGGGAACTTCTTTATGGGCCTTGGATTCCACAGTGACACGTGTAAGTAATACCTGCTAACGGTAAGTGGGTCACCCCCAGAGAGAACTGCTGCACAGAGGCTGCAGAAAAACACTTGTGGTCTGAACCCTAGATTTCATTCCCATTTTTTCAAGTGCATTATTTTCATTTTCCTTGTTTCCCTCCAATCCCTCTCCAAATACACATTTCATACAGTCTTAATAATACCCTTGATAATTTTGGTCACTTTTTTTCCAGGTTACACACAATATTTAGGAACACTTTCCTCCTAAGGCAGTTTTTCATTGGAAACACAGCTCAGGTAGTTTCGCCCGGTCTGCCTTCTGTGACTCGCTTCTGAAATCTGTTCTTTTCTTGTTTATCAGTCATGTATCCACTTTTAAATGCATGTCCTGTGACCCTTTCAGTCCCTGAGAATCACGCCATCACAGACAGGCCATGCAGTAGAGGTGACGGGGCATAGTCTGGACCCACCTAATGGCTGTGACACAAATTCTCTTCTCTGGGTGAGAAGAGGAGTGAAGATGTATCCACTGTTTTTCTTCCTTGAGAAACTGATTTGGAAGCTGTAATGTTTGAATTGCAGCTGTGTAATTTCATGTCATGTTGTCTTATTTCTAAAGAAAATAAGAACCAAGAGTATCCTTCTAGAGAACGTTGAAACCGAGTCTTTTAATGACCTTGTTGTTTTTTTACATAAAATGATAAGATCTCAAAAGCCTGTTAATCTGAATCAAGTCAAGTTCAAATACTCCAAGTGAGTGATCTTTTAGGTCAGTATTTCCAAAGTATGCTGTGGACAAATGCTACCACTAAAGTATTTCTGTTGTGCATTCACTTCAATGTGCATCAGAAAAACCTAGTTAATGCCTCACTATCACATCCCCAGTCCGTATCTGTGAAGAGAAATCACCTCCCCAAAATACTCACCAGATAAGTTGACACCCAGTGATACTGATTTTTAAACAATTTGTTGATGTAATGTTTCTCTCTTTCTCTCTCTCTCTCTCTCTCTTTCTCTCTCTCTCTCTTAATTGCTCTTGTTTTCTTTTTTGGCAGTTTCTCTTACACAGTCCAGGCTAATTTTACAGTTGGTGATGCTCCTGCCTTAGCTTCCAAAGTGCTAGGATTTACAGGTGTGTACTACCACCCCTGGCCTTAAAGTTTACTTTGAAATGTTTTGTTTAGATATTTTAAAATTAATTATTTCAAAAGAGCAGAATTAAATTCACCTGCTATACAAGTAATGTAAAATTTCAAAACGACTTTGAACATGGCAGGAGGCGGGCATGGACACCCAGGTGGACTGCATACACCTGCCTGCCTGGGTCCCTCTTCTATTTCTGCAGCCTACCCACAGCTCCAGATCAGACATTGTCTATGCTCTTGAATCTACCTTCCCATCTGTCTAGGCTCCACTTCGGTTGTCTCCTAACTCACTCCTAAGGACTCTTCTGCTTCTGAAGCTCATGCCACCTACCAGTTCTGCCTTGTGAAGCTGACAGAAAAAGCGTTCTGCCACAGTCCTGAGAAGAAAAGCCTGTTGTCCTTCATAGTAGCAATTTGGGATCTTTGGCTGATCTAGTACAGTTTTTAATTTTTAGTTTTATTACTAATCTGATCACCAACCTTCATCACTACATTAGAATGGAAGCCTGAAGCTCACACTCAGCGACCTTGTTGAGTCTTTGCTCGTAGGTTTTCTGTTAGTATAGCTAACAGTTACTATCTCACAACTATAGCAATATGTAAGTAATGGAGTTATATTTTCCAGTGTATAACACAAGAAAAATGGCAAAGTTTTCTGCACATAGTTTCCCATTATCACAATTATTCTCCTAACAATCAGTAATAAGAGTATTAATTTGCAAAATGTACAAGTAAGTGGTATTTAAAACAAAACAAAAAAAGAGTATTAATTTACAAAATAATAGTTTCTTCCTTCTAAGATGTGAGATTTTTAAATATAACTTTTTCTTACTGTCTTGCCATATATGTCACTTTGGCAAACATATCACTCGTAAGACCTGACCACATAAGGTGATATATAATGTGTATAGACAAAGTCACATATATTCAAATAGCGAAGCTTTAACTTTAACATAGTAACTAGGTACCTTGGCAATCTTATAGCACTTAAGTCCACCAGCGAATTATCCACTAACCAGAGAGTTTCAACTCGAATTAATCTTCGAAGAATCCTTTTAAAATTTTCAATTTGATAAGGGTCCCCCAAATCTTGAAATGAAATGTTCAAGTTCTAAAGCAAAACAAATAAAAATTAAAAAGTCAGTTTTTGTCAATTATGGAAAGGAGCTATTAATTTAAAATATGTTATATATATTACTTCAGCCAGTAGTTTTCATCTCTTTCTTTTTTTGAAATTCATAATACACATTCATGAAAAAACTCACAGCTATGTTGCAGGGATTCTCGATGTACGAGAGGGTAAAGAACTGGGTCAGGATTACTTCCTGTTACAAAAAATTTTCAGAGGTACAGGAAGGGGAAAAGAACAGGACCTTCAAACTTATTCTGATATTCTCTAGCGGTAGAGTGGAGGGCATTCATTTCTCTTGGAGAATTGCTAGCCTTAGTTATAACTTATCATCAATCTTTCTCAGAAATACTCAGAATTCATAGCTATAAAAATTTCAGAGTAAGCAGTGTCATTTAAAAGATGAAAACTATTTACAAGTTTTTAAAAGGTGAAAACTATTTTGTTTTAGAGCAACTAGCGATACATACCTAGAAACACGTTTGCCTATTTCAAATGCAGTGGCTACTTTACTTTCAGGGTCAGTGAATTTGATGCAAAGTAAATTAAAACTGCTGTTAGCAGTAGCATTGCTCTTAAAAAAACTATTCCTAAAGGTCAGTTTAGCCTTTTTATCTATCTTTCACTACCAATTGCAACCGATGGAAACTATGAACGTTGGATGATAATCCTCTTTTCAAGATTTTGATATCTGGGGGACTCTTACGATATGCTATTTAAGGAAATAAAGAAAACTTTATTTTTAGAAAGACTAAGTCTTGATATTTTTCAACAATATAAAAATTTGATACTGCAAATTCCATTTCCAAAAGTATTAAAGGTCTTCATTTTAAAATAAAATTTAAGAAATGGTAAGTGTATACCTATCATATATAATTAAATGTCACCTCATTTTCTTATTTACCATTATTTCATAATTAAATTTTCTATGACAGCTTAGAGTTTGCTTCGCCATTCTCTTAGAGCACAGGTAATGAAAGGTCAGTTAAGTTTTCTTTATTAGCAAGGCCCCATTGGCTTTTACGGTATTTCCTTGCTTTAAAATGCCGCTATACGGAATGACCGTGTATAAATGCCAAAATGGCTCCCAGAAAGAAGAGTCATGGGAGGGGCAGTCAAGGCTTTGAGTGTATTGTTCACATTTTTAGAATATGTCAGCAGGTATAAGATGTACATGTTTAAAGAGTAATATGTATCCACTTACTATATGTGAATAAATTAAAAATAAGTTTTTTTAAAAAAATCACTGGACTAAGATAAGATATTCCACATTTAGATCTTCTTCTAACAACCTGTGCAACCTTGGGCAAACTGATTCGTTATGGACCTCCTTTTCCTCTCGAAAGGACAGGATCTAGACCGGTCCCTCTCTGAAGCTCCTCCCCACTGCTTATACTTTTATGACATACAAGATCAGTCTGTGGGGCAAAGGAGGGACCGAGAGACCCCAAAAGGAGCTCTCAAACTCACTGTTGTTTCTGGAGAGTTCCTACAGCCAGTTACCATTTGAGCATTCCACTTTTGGGTGAAGAAGTTGCACTGTTCTTTTATTGCTGCAAACATTTATCTTTCTCAGTTATATCTTCAACCTCCTTCCAAACAGGACTTAGCTGGCTGGGACTAGGAGCCTCACGGAGGGCAGCCAGCTCACTGCAGGCCTGTGCCAAGGCCGGGCTCAGCGCAAATCTGATTTGTCGCAGGGCAGCTCTGCGTGGATCAGGCCGGCGCCCCCACCTGAGCAGATCTGTTCCCCTCACGCATGATTCAAGGGATTCCAGATTGCATCATGACCTCGCTCAAAGAGATTATTGTCCAAAATCTGACTACTTTTTAAATGAAAAGAACAATTCCATTCTTAACTATTTTAAACATTTTCCGGAGGAATTCAGCAATACTTGCATAAAATCGTATTTAAAGTATGTCCCACACCTTGTGATGAAGAGAAAGGTAAAAAAAGAAAAGTAGCCCCAACTCTGAACTTGTATGAGAGCTCTGAAAAGGTTGAAAGGTTTGGTACTTACGGATAACTGCCCCACAAAAAGGGGCGTCGGGCTTACTCAGTGGGGAGCATAGCTCTGTTTTAAAGTTCTCACCGTGCATTCTTCCCAGTTTTCTTGTAGCCATGCTTCCCATTTGGTTTTTTCAAGGGTTCTTCTCTTTGGCGGCAAGGAACACCCCACCTCTCTGCAAAGCAAGGCTTCTTCAGACGGCCCTAGGGAAAAATTACTGGGTGACATCTTGGAAGGAGGCTAGGGTACAGGAGCGCCCTCACTTGTAAGTCGGCCAGTTTTCTGGGAGCTCCATGTGTATAATGCGAGCAGTAACAAAATGTCCTAATCCGGGGGCAGGATTAAAATCTTCTTAGTAATTTCTTTCTCATCACTTCTAAACAAAATAGTCACACTCTGGACCTGCAAGTTCTCCAACAGTTGAATTCGTGGACGCAGAACCTATGGAAAGGGAGGGCCAAGTACGGGCCTCTGATTTGGACACACTGACTCGGATTCGTAGGACCTCAATGGTACTGAAACGACCCAGTTTCCTGTTTCCCCCAGAGCTACAGAAGCTTTGGGTGACAGGCTTACCCCAGGTCCTCCCATCACAAGATGATTTACACACGGCGGAGGAAGCACCAACCAGAGCAGCAACCTCCTTGCTTTTCATTTATTTTGTTTTTCAAGAAGTTTAGAAGAAAGTGAATATAGTTATTAAAAATTATAAGCTTATTTAAATTACTCATATTTATGTTGCCTTGAGAAGCTGCTCCTTCCTGTCCAGTGTTCAGGGCCTCACACCTACGTGCGCTGCAGCTGCCTTCTTTGGGGTCCCTGCTCTGCTTGCGTCTCTCCTCTAACATAAGTGACACGAGCGACCATCCAGCCTCCCCGACAGTGCTTCTACGAGGCTCACACGCTCACAGCACTGCCTACAAATTCCAGTGTCACGCAGCACTGTGCATCCTGTCCTGGAGTCCATTTCCAAACTTGTATCCCACTATTTCCAGCCTTATCCTCCAGACAAGTTTCATTCAGAATTGCCGTGGTTAGGGAAGACCGCAGTTTCCAGTGCAGAGCTGGATGTAAGGCAGTAGTGCTACTACAGGTCACTAAGTTTGATTTTCTGGGTTTCAGTTTTCCAGGTGTGCAGATACAGGGAAGGCATTAAGGAAGGACCCAACATGAGCTGAATTTGGGGATCTCTGAAAACTGATTTCTATTGCGTTTAGGCCAGCAGGCCAACATCGCCACAGGCCCTACCGTCTCTGCTGTGCCACCAATGGAAACGTCCCTTTCTTATACCCCCAGCCAGCCCGTGCAAACAGTCCCACAAGGGATTATTTCAATTGCCTCCCAACAACGTGTTTTATGTGTGTCATACCTGATGCATCTGTATTCATTTCCCCACTGCATTTTTCTAGTTTGCATGACTCTCTTCATTTTGCAGGTGAACACACACACACAAAATAGAAAAACAACACTTAAGAACAAACTTTACTTTGCTTTTGTGGCCTGTGTGTCCGGGTTATGATAGGAAATAGTGAATCCATTTGTGAAGGATTTATGGAAGGCCGTAAGAGAATAGTCTGATATTTCATTATTTTGTTACAAACATTAGTTTTTTCACCAGAGGGCAGTGGAGGCCAAGCTCTTACCTGCTGTTAAAGGACTTTTCTCATAATGAACTCCACTGTTGCCACCCAGAAATCCTTTGACCTTCAGTGTGATAGGGCTAACCAATTTATAAATGAAATATCCTCAGACAGGAAAAGTTCTTTATTGATGATGACTTGAGTCAATCGTAAAGTGGAAAACCGAAACAATCATCTAATTGGCCAGGGATACGTTTGAGATGTATTATCTTTAATGCACCCCTACTCTCAATTTGGTATCTAGTCTGTGTGAATGAGATACCCCAGTGTTTTTAAACTCTGCCCTGTATTGCTTGTTTGAGTGTTATTGATTCTCTGGTCTTTTAATTATTTGTGTTTACCAGAGCTTTCAAAGATTTATTTGATGTTGGAAGCCGAAGGTCACGTCCACTGTGAGACGTTATATTAAATTGGATTCGTATTTTTGCCCAGGCTTAGTTGGTATTTGAAAATATATCTGTAGTGAATTCATAACCGGTGGTCAACTTATAACCCCCAGCTGAACTGAGTGAGCATGGCGCTGGGTGTGGGAGGCCCACCTGGGGACTGTTGCCAGCAGCATAAGAGACAGCTGAAAAAGGAGAAAGTTGGCTGTTGGGAGTGGACAAAGGCTGTTGGAGCTGGTAGAAGCTGTAAAGAGCTGTTGGTTCTGTTGGAGGAGCTCACCATGCTGGCTTTCCTGATGAACTCGGCTATTTTCATCCTCTGAGGAGCTCGGGACCTCCTTGGCACTGAGAATGGCCTTATTTCACTTTGGGGGAGCTCTGGTCCTCACTTTGAGCATTACTTCCTGGCTCCAGAGGGTAAGTTGGTGCACTGCCGGTCTCCTAGAGAAGCTTACTGCATTGGCTTTCTGGATGGGAACTTGGCTATCTTGACCAGTGGAAGAGTTCCGGACCTCACTGTTGCTGAGGATGGCTGTGGTACATTTCAGGGGAGCTCTGGTTCTTCTGAGCATTGCTTCCTGGTTCCAGTGCAGATCCCTCAGCCTGCTAGCACAGGTCCTTCTTCCTGCTGGCACAGACTTCCTAGATTCCACCACTGACCTTTGGGCCTTCTCAGCGCAGATCCATGAAACAGGCCTGCATGAGATATTGGTATGGGCTCTGGGCCTCCAGGTGGACTCCTGGGAGGCATTATTATGGGCTCTAGGTCTTCAGCTGGACTCATGCAGGACATTTCTGTGAGATCCAGGCCCTCAGCTGGATTCCTTGGTCTTAGTGTATGGACAGATTTCCTGCATTCTTTTGTATATCATTCTTAGGTGATTATTATATATATAATCATATAAAATATGTGTCCTGTATTATATTGTTTCACCTTGCAAAAGAAGCCCCAAACCAACACAGTATCTTAGAAGCTAAGACTGCGAACTGGAATACCTGACAGTCCAGGGTTGCTGGGTTTTGCCTGCTACCTCTGAGCTTGTTATTTATCTTCTCACTGGATGTGTAAATTGTAACAGTCACTGAGTTAACTTGCTGGAAGTTTTTCAAACAAATAATGTATCCTTTAAAAGAATTCTGCCAACAGTTTGCTCTTTTGCTTCATTTAATTGAGAGAAGTTCAATTGCTCTTAATCTGGCACTCAAACCTTTGGGAAATTGCTGTTTGTCACACACATTACCTTTCTTTTCTCACAAACTCCAACTTTGTATACAATTTGGGCCATTGAGATCAACTGAAATAGCTCTGAAGAGCGCTTTAGGACATAATCTAGAAGGAGGAGGCGTCTTACCAAAACGCTTTTCAAAGCACTTGTTCTCCGTCTCACAGCACAAATTTCAAACCAAGTTAAGTGCAGTGAAGATGGGACATCTATTTTCACGGTAGTTTGAGAGCATAGCATTTTCTAGTGTTTTCCATCTTGTAGATCACGCTGTGTTCCTTTATGACTAGTCACTTAGAAGCGATTGGGTGCTGCTGATCATCTATGCACGGGGAACATGCCTTTCCTCCGCAGAACCAGGATGCCCTCTGGGTGATCAGTCCCCGTGGCCATTACGTGTGAGTGGTTTTGCTGATAGATAACCACAGCACATGACCCGGTCACTTAAATCAGGGATGAGGGAGCCAGAGGACTCTCTTTACTCATGCTGATTTTCAGTTTACTTTCACATTTTATTTGCATCATCTCCAGTTTTTGTAGTTCCTCTAGCCTGGTGATGGCAAAACTTTCAGAGACGAGTGCCTGAACTGCAGCCCCAAACTCACTCACTTATCACAAAGTACCAACACTGCAGTTAAACCCAAATGTTGAGATTTTAGTTTAGAAAAAAACTCTCACACATTAACATCTTTTGTCTTCAAAGAAAAGCAAATACCACTTGTACCATAGGTTCACCACCACTGTTCTAGCCTCAACCCTCCTCGTGTACTCAGAATACAATTTGTTTTTGCCTTTACGTACCCTGCGTGCATACACATATACCAGCATACTTATTTAATCACTCTTGTGTTCTGTTCAAATTTCTTTTCCTTTCCTCAACTCTCTTAAATTAGTATTTCTCCTAGGATAGCGATCAGATCATCTGCAAAAGGATTTTCCGCAGTACTTTCTAAAAATGCGTGTTCTGGAGCCCCATCTTATACCAGCTACCTCAGATTCTTTGCTTGCACGGACTTGGATTCTGAATTTTTCACATGCTACACTTTAAGAACCAAACTGAAACCCATCATTTTAGCCCATAACATAGCATTCTCTTCCTTTTACTGAAGAATTCCTTACAAATGTTACACATGTGGCTTCTATTTCTCTAGTCTATTCCTTCTGAATATCATAAAATTTCTCCCTCTTTGAAAAAATATTCTTTCCAAATATTCTTTCCAAGTTGTCCAAAAGGACAACTCTAACTTATCTCTAGTAGTATTATTTACTAACATTTAAAAAATAAGAGTCAGTGCTTAGGTGGCAATAGAGTTGAGTTAGACATGAGAACACATTTTACTCAAAATGTAAGAAAATCATGTGATTTCAATCTTCTTTTGCTAAATGACTTTGAACAAAAGAAGACAGGTCTGATTTAGGTAATGCCATAGAGAGAGAGAGAGAGACAGAGAGACAGAGAGAGAGAGAGAGAGAGAGAGAGAGAGAGAGAGAGAGAGAGAGAGAGAGAGGAGGGAAATGAGCAGATGAATACACCTAAAGTGGCTTTTTCCAAATCAGTACTGCAATTATACGATCTATAGTATTACTACAAGACTTCACATACTGATGGAGGAGTGCCGAGATACTTGATGTTTTATAAAAACTAAGCACTCACTGCAGCAGGAATTATGCTATCTTATTTTCCTGGCTTTTGGAGATACAGAAAGGATCTGAGAAATGCACTGTCTATGGTCTTACAGTTTATAATCTACTGACAATAAAGGCCCAAGCTGTTAGAAATTGGAGTTTTGATGTCAAAAATAAGGAAAAGGTGATTATTCTGGCTCCAGCAGACCCAATTTACCTTCAACCTGTGTTCTTTTCTATCTGGGATTTTAACTAACTGGATAGTTCCCACCTACACTGGAGTGAGCGTAGGTCTTTCTTACTTAGCTTTGACTCAGCAGGTTAGGTA